CTGAGGGCGTCCACGGGAGGGGGCGGGGGTGGGAAGGGAATTCCAGCGCCTAGCTGTGAGAGAGCAAACCCGGGCGGGGGAATGCGTTACTGGAGAGCGGAAAAGGAGGTGGGAAGAAGAGATCTGAAGTGCTGTTCATGTATCTGGTCTTGTACACTGGGGGTTTTCTCCACACCGAGTAGACCTTACCTCGTGGGAGCTTGGAATAACTTCTGTGGCTTTAAGGAAAATACAGAATTAGGGTAGATACAGAGGAAATCCGTTGTTCCTTCCTCTGAAACGACAGTAGCACCTTTTCTCTCCACCACCGGCTTCCCTTTCCCAAACATTTAAAATAAGCATTTAATTACGAAGAGAAGACCATATTTAACTTAACACTGTTTCTACCTTCTCTGACTTCAGCCCCTCTCCTTCCACCTAAAGTCCAGTAGCTTTAAAATAACACTTCTTCAGGACGATCATTCCTTACTTCTTATTCCACGTGGACCGGTCAAGCCTGTTGGTTTTCCCAACTGTCGTGTTTGCTCCTTTCCCCGTCCCGTAGCCCGTTCCTCCTCCTCCGCCATCACGGCTGAGAGACTTCCCAGCGCCCGCAGCCGGAGCACGCCGTTACCAACAGCATCTCCGGGCTCGTCGCTCCCTTTGCTGCCTGGGGACGGAAGGAGAAGTGCTGCAAAGACAGGGCTGGACACGAGTAGCCGGCCCAAGGACGAGGTAGCCACGGCTTGCAGCAGTTAGGGCACACGGCGACAAGTCTGTGAAATGCGCCGTTTGAAAGATGCCGAGAATCCTATAGCCTCCTTGTAATCTTTTACATAGAAGACGTTCTGCAGGGTAGGAAGCAGCTGAGGGAATGGAATGAGGTTGGACGTGCCACAATTCGTAAAATCACTTGGGGTGGCACCTGTGTCTGTTCCTGTCCTGGTTTTTTTCCCCACTCCCATGTCACATACGGGTTTCCAGATAGCTTCAGGGTTTTGCCTGTATTAACAATCCTTCCCCTTTCCTTAGCTTCACCTGTACTTCAGAAAAAACTATAATTAAAGAATGAATATTCTCCTTAGCTTTGTCTCATGTTACTCCTGAGCTCTTTTGTTTCTATTGTTACTCCGTCATCTTTCGTTGTCTCTTTCTGACCAGACAAAATAACTTTATAACTCATTCTTCATATTTGCAGCAATTAGTTCTTCGACGACAACTCTCCGGCTGCCTCTTGCTTGAGCTGCAAGAGCTTCTAGCACTTACACTAGTGGTAGGAGTCACCATGCCAGCCATTACCGAAACACGGACAGGGCAGTGAGCGCGTTACACCGTTCCCAAGAGTTTTACTACCACACCGCCAGATAAGCCATTTCCTTTTGGGAAGGCATGCCTTCATCAGGTGGCCTAATAACAGACCACTCGTCTTTATTTACCCTTCTGTGAGGAAAATCTCCATGAATTTCTGCGAGGGAGCGGGGCTGTAAGGAACGCAGGCTGCTCTGCCGAAGGCAAGTGTTTTGGTTTGAGAAAAACATTCTTCCAGTGCAGTGCTCCAGAATCCCTGTGCTCCAATGTCAGATGCTGACACCAGCAACCTAAGAGGCCACAACTGTTGATTCCTTTATGCGAGGCTGATACCGCTGGTAGTCCCAATATATATATATATATATTTAACGGGATCCCCTGTGACGCATGCACCCACTCTGACTGAGTGAGCAGTACTTTGGTTCAGGCATCACCGACAAGTATGCCTGACTGAAATCAGCCCTGCCGTGCAAACCCCGAGAATTGTGCTCAGCCGTATCTCCTCAGGAACTAAGGAGTTTAGGCCGTGTCTTATCAGGAGCTAACAGTACGAGCCGGAGCTGGGACTAGACAAAACTGAAACCGCTACAGCTGCACATACACCAAAGGGGGATTGACTACGAGTCAATCACTTTACGCTATAAATATCTGTATTTGAGCTCTCCTGCACAGCAGCGGGCTGCCCGGCGATGATGTCCCCCTTGAGCAGGGACGCCTCTCAAGGTTACTCCTTGAGGTTGAGACCCCCTCACCCGGCATCTGATATCTGTGATGAGCTGAGTGACGTTTTACATTAGGCTTAAAAGTATATTGTATGCTAGCGGCATGTTTATATATATCCAGCTATAGCTTAATTATTAGAAGTGTAGTAAGCAGTAGAGTGTTTGACCATTGTCTACTTTTTAAATTGTAATTTAAACGATTGTCAAATCACTGTTTAATTACCACTCAATTATTGCTTAATAACCATTCAATTACCATTTAATTTTCATTCAGTCATCAATTAATTATCATTTGATCATCATTTAATCATTAATAAACCCCTTTTAGTTAACCCCACAATGATGACTTCTCTTAATAATTCACCTGTGACACCCCCCTACATGCAGAAGACTCAAACCTTAATTTAGAATTAAGGTGCACACAGTTCAGTGGTTATCTCATGTCACTAAAGCAGCCAGGAGCAGCTTAGGTTTTACAAAACCAGGGAACAATTACGCAAAGTGACTTTGCACAATCAGGTACGTCTGCTTTTTGAAGAAACGCCTCAAGCAGGACACAAACTCACATTACTGCTGTTCTTTGTGATTCCGTCCCTCTTGTGCAGAGGGAAGCTCTCACCAAGAGTCAGTTTGTACTGAAGATTGGTTTTCCATCATAAATGTGCACCCAAACCATTCTATACTATTCCTATTCTATTTAGCAACATTTTACATACAACACTATGCCCCGTACATATTGCAAAACAGAATATTAACAGGTAACGCAACAATTGCAATATTCCAAAACCAACTGATGTTATTGTTGGAACATACAGACCTAGTGCAGCTGTCCAAGAAAAACAAGGAGAACGCTACAGATTAAGTTAAACATGACATGCCAGTGTGCTCTGTAGGGAAAAAAATGGAACCTACCTATAAAAAGTTTCATGAGGAGATGGGCTTAGGTCTCCACAGAAACACTGCAAATTCAACAAGTTTCCAGGCAAACATGTAATACGTGCATGCAGAGCTTACTGAAGGACAAAAGGCCCAAATTACCTCCTTTTCCTCCCATTTGTCAATTCTCTTAGAAAGCCTAGAAGAAGTGAACCAAGTTAAGCAACTATAAATATGAACACATTCTCTGTACATGAACTGCATCTCAGTAATTTCTTGTTTGCATAATTTTAATTCTGCAGATTCCTGTACAAAGAGGTAACAGGTCTTGAGAAGCTTTAACCTTGACAGATTTTCTTCGGCCAGCCCACAGCTTTGCTTCTGATTCATGACAAAAAATGAGGACACTGTTGGTGACTCCAGAGGTCAAATTTTGCACTGTGTCTTACCTTAGCAAATAAAGGATGAACTCCGAACTTAAACCAATTTTACCCTACTACTCTCCTAACATTAATTTACAAAAAAAATTTAGGAATGCACATCTCCTTTTTTGGCTTAGAAATTCAATTCATTAGAGAGTGAAAACATGTTAAGACAGATTTACTACTTTCAAAAGGACTTTCTGAATCCCTTGCAAAACTTTATCTTTCAGAAGAGGTTGATAAACTGCATCATACTCCCAGTACATCATAGATTAAAGCAACTGGAGATTAACAAATGAGACTGTGTGTGCTGACTATTTGAATTCATTAAATAGCGCAGTGTTTGATCACACAAACTTGGCAAGATTGGACTTAAGTCTAAGGCCACGGAAAGACCAGCCTGTTCCAGAAGCAAGCATTGTAATCACAAACATATTAAAAAGCCCATTGCTTAAGTACGTGTGTGTTCACGCTTTGCCTGAACCAATTTTGACTGAGCCTTTGGAATGCCACTGTTTTCCCTACAGACTTCACTTAGGCTCAGGGACATCAGAGAAGTTGAAATGCTTTTCAGTTTAAATTACTTGAATTTGCCATTATTAAGTTTAATCTCCTATTATGCTACTTGTTTAACAGCCTTACTAGTTCAGACCAAATGTTCCTTAGCCACCTCTAGTTTTACATAGACTAAGCAATTGTCAAAGACAAATTTTGGTGCCTTGGTGTTTGGTTTCTGTTTTTTTTCCCAGGCACTTCCTAAATATCTAACGTCTGTTCTAATTGCACATTTTTGTGGTCATCTGTTTTTTCCGAAAAGGCTAGTGATTCATTCCAGTTTTGATTTTTACTACTTCTGGTTTGAAAAGTTTTCACACAAGAGACTAAAGAAACAATATCACGGATTACAATGTGGCTTCTGAAAATCTATTTCTCTCAAGCACTTTTCCTTATTGTAGGATAACACCCCAAAAAGCTAGAGCAAATCTTCTTTTACAATAGTTGTGTTCATTTTTCCTTATAAACTGTTAGCAATAAGCCATTTTTTAGATTGATTTTTTTAAACCTGAAATAAGAAAGCCCAGGTGGCACTTGGTGCTTTACTTTTCCAAGAGAACTAGACACTACTGGGTGAGCTTCAGCATGAATTTTCTCCAATGAGAGGCAGTGCAGTTGGCAGCAGCTCAGCCACTTCATTCTCCATATAATACCTCGGTATTTTTCCATCTAATTCTGATGACTTCCTAATTAACTTGTACCTTCAGCCTATTTTAAAAGGTCATTTTATTAAACACTGCACTGGTGGTTATGTGACTGCTCTGATTTTTCTGCTATGATGCTTTTCTTTCTGAAATGCAAAATGCAAACTAACTCATTTCTAGAAACTCTTACCCTCCAGAGTGAGAACATTAGATTTAGGAAACTAAAGGTTTCAATAACAGAATTCCCTTTACTATTAACTGATTTAGACCTCACCTCCTTGTCATTTACTTTACAGTTGAGTACCTTGTCTTTCCAAATATCTTTGTTCTATAAAAATTATGCTTACCATCTGACTGCTTCCGCTGCTCTACTTCAGGAAGAAATTCCAAGATAAACTGCTGCCCCCTGGCCTGTAATCTTTCACATTTAATTTCTTCACACCTAGTAGCAACTTGTAGTCTTTGTAGCCACTGAAATGTTTGTACATTAAAAATATCCTGTTTTTAGTAAATGTGTGCAACAGCAACAGTGCCAAAGTTTGTTACCCAGTTACTTAACAAAGAGAGTCATAACACATTCTGCAAATACATTTATTTATTGACAAGATCTCAAGCTTGTCTGAGACCTCCATCTACAATATACATTTCAAAAGCATATTTGTACATCAAAGACAGCTTCAGTAGTAACACTTTGTTAGCAAGATTACAAGTTAACATTGTGACTTTTGTAGTCCTCAAGATTCAGATTTACAGGAAAGTCCTCGGTATTTACATTCAGTAGGACCTCCAGTCAGTGGGGACAAAGAAAGGTTTGTCTCACATAAAGTTCCTGTTCATGAGGACCACACCAGAATGTGACTTACCTAAGCTCTTGATTCACAAGGTGATCAACAACTTGCAGCCCAAAGTCACCTGAATATTTTGTTGCTCCACAGCACAGATCCACCAGCCACCACCTGACCTGCTTAATTTGTCACATGGAAACTGTTCCTGCTTCCTCTGTATTTGTATTTGCTTATATCACACTAGTGACCCCCTATGATTTGTCCTGCAGTACTCAACGTAGTGGTCTCTGCATCCACTTGGAAGCTGCCATTTTTACTCCATTTCAGCTCTTTGGTAATCCAAAATTACTTTCTACAGTGCAGCCCTCGCTCCATCATGTATGAAGCAAGGTTGAGGCCCACCTCTGCAAAGCTCTGAATAAGGTTCACCAGACACCTTTCTCTAGACATCGGAAGAAAATACTGCTACCCTTTTCCTAGTGCATCACCCTCCTGCTCGCGGATGCCAGTCCTCTTCTGTACCAGTACCAGCCACTGTCAGACCACCCTGCAGCCAATGAAAGGAAACAACCCTCTAACCTCTACCACTATTCCAACAACCCGCTTGCTCTACAACCCTGGAAGCACCGCAGTATCCCTCAGCCTAGATGCCCTGTGGGATTTCAAAGGGGCTCCAAACACTTCCAGTCAGGAGCATGCCACGATCCACAGCAAGGTATATGCCAAAGCTGACCCGGCTCCAACTCACCCTCGCTAGGTCCATAACCTCCTATCCCTTTGGGTGAAGGATTCTGCTTGGACAGCAGTTGCTACGAGCTCCCGTAACAATACCACTTGCTCTTACATCTCACAGAAGAGGGATATACAGGCATATGCAAGGGTGTGTCTTGTACATGCTTTATGCAAAGGCCCTGAAGAAAAACAAAGTGGCATTTAAAGACAGGTATTTTAAACTATAGATAATACTGCTGGCCACTTGCAACAAGCTGTTTCTACAACACGGTTTTACCTTTATGTGGCTTTTTAATACTCAATTTATTGACCCATTCAGCCTCTGGCCTATCACTGCTCTGCCCAGTCTTGTCCCACCTGCCTTCACTCAACTTTGAGCCAGTCTGGCTCCTGCCCATCTGATCACTGCCTTCCAACCAAGACAAACCAAGCCACATTGACAAATAGCTTTTATTCACAGCCCGACAACGAAGCAAGAGAAATTTTCAAAAAAACTCTGGTAAAGGCACCAAGCCTTGCATTCTCCATGTTACTATGCAGTAGGGCTCACTGAAGTAGTACAGTCTGGAAGCAGCACCTGACCCGACATTTATTTTCCCTTGGGGCAGCAGTTGAACCACAGAGGACAGACAAGCCCCTCAGACTCACGCGCACAATAACAAGGCTATGACCCTCTACCACCAGTCAGCTGCAGGTGTATCATCGTGCTCTCCGGCGCAGACCAGGTCCTCTGATCCATAGCACTGGACCGGCCGAACGGCGCCGCATGCCACTTCCTTCAAACTGCAGAACGTGCGCCCAGACCCGGGTCAGCACCTCCGACGCCGCACTGCGCTAGCTGAACCCTTCGTACAGGCTGGCAGCTTTGCAAGTCAAACGGTTAGCTGAGCAGATTACTGCCACTGTACTTATAAGAACCACCCCTACTCTGTGCTGCAATGGAAGGAAATAACCTGAAGGAGCTGCCACTAAATACCGGAGCAAGCACTGAAAATAGTAACTTCCTCATATAGCTACTTATAGCCCACATTTGAAACTTATCATCCTTGCTCATCTCCTGTGCAGTTAACTTTCTGCACTTGCACTTCTGTTCAAACCCGTTAGCTGCTTAGATGTCCACATGCCAAGTTGGGGAACTGAGATGAGGTCCAGACCTCTCCTCCATTACCTTACTGGATAACACTAAGAAACCAAAAAACGCCACACACCCAGGGAGTCATGGGATGTGCATTCCCAAAGAACAAGAATTCAACTAGATTGCTAATGCTAACACCAAAATTAGGGAGAATGTTTTTCTTGAGTCAATCAGCTCTGAATAAAGGCAGCTGATGTGCAAGCAAGCAGGCAGGACACAGACAGGACCATTTCTACTAGCTAGGGGCAACTTTCTACTTTTGCCTTGTCAGGGGTAGACAGACACAAACAGCTAAAGGTGGAGTAACAGGAAACTGTAGGGAAGAAATCTGTATTCAAGGTACACTAATTCATGCACAGCACATATGAAGAAGTCGAGTTTCAGCCTATACTGAGGGGTGACCTACTTCAAGTATCTCCTCTTGGGAACAGGAGATCAAGAGTGTGACCAAAAGCCAGGCACACAGTAACACTCAATCATAACTTGAGTTCATTTTAGTCATGAAGACAAGCCCTTAAGCATTTAGTTCCAATTGAAACCAGAAGTCATATATACAGTTTAATTAAAGCACTTCCACATTTAATTTAAGCAAAATAGGTTTCATCAGAAAGTTACACAAACCCAAAAAGCTTTATTTTTCAAAACCATACTTTATTTTTAAAGGCTAAGAGAAGTATTCAGAACTATATTTCTTAAGCAAAAAGATTCACATTTCATTCTGCAGGGTCATTAGTATGAGAAAAAGCATTTGGGGATTTATTTTTTGCAACTGTTGCTGAGTTCCTACACCAATCCAGATTTATTTAACAATGGTAACATCAGTTATGGCTTAAGATACTGGATTACAAAACAGTAACACAAATGTTGAGACTCAAGTGGTGAACAGGTAGCTATGGCCATTTTTCCACACAAAGATAATGTTTTAGCTAAGACAAACAGAAGCAACAACTGTCTTTATTGGTAGACAAATCAAGTGAACATCATCAGCACAGACACTGCTTCAAGGATACCCATGCTCTTAATCCACAAATGTTAGAAGAATGTTCTGTCTGCTCCAATTACTTCACTTTTTCTTCCATATCACAAGCCTCAAAAACATGAAAGTATGAAACCATGACAACAGCTTTTTGTTTGGGGGGTGGGGGTGGTTTGGTGGTTTTTTGTTGTGATTTTTTTTTTTGAAGAAAAGGATACAAGAAAAGATGGAAGACTACAGTATGTGGTGAAGGAAGAATCATCACCTCTAAAGCGACAGCAGGACTTTGGCCAAGAAATTTTAATCAGTAAGCATGTAAGGACTCAAACCGACACAGAACCCAGAGCTGCAATTTCATTGGGTATTTTCCCCTTCACTGATTTATAACTCTGCATTTACATGTTCTGGATGGCTTGCATTCAGTGGGACAGAGGTAGTGATGGGAACAAGATTCCTTCCCTAAAGATTCCAAATAAATGAAACCTGGTAAGCACGGCCCCAAGGAAGGGCGAGTGCAACCAGTGGAGGACCTGCCAACTGGGAAAGGACAGGAGCACAAGCACAGACAGTAAGCTGCTTTCCCATACCCAGACTGATAAACAAAATGTTACGTAAAGGTGCTGGACAAGAATTGAGCAAGTAACAAAACCTCTGTGGCCTCTGCAATACGTACTTCATGCCAGGTTGTGCAAAGGATAGGACCATACCTTTGCTGCACAATTGTGGTGATCAAAACATTACATTATTTGCAGTACTGCCAGAAGTTCCAGTGTGTAACTAGCTAGCATGGTTATACTGATAGTTTTAATAGCTACATAAAGTCAGTCACCCATAAAAAAAAAAAAAAGACTGGTATTTGCAGACAATTGCTTTATCCAGTTAATTCTTCAGACTTGTCCCATCTTTGCTATTTGTGACTAGGCCAACTTCTCTGTCCTAAGGGGATTAAACTGTTAAAGTTCCTTCCTCTTTGCTCACTGAGTAATTAAAAAAAATATCAAAACAACACAACAGCAGGTTTTTATCTTACACTCCTGGAATATTATAATTTCTTACCAGAGTGTTCATTCAAAGGAAACCGCCTGCAACACTTATAAAAAGGTTGCAACTCTTGGACTAGGAGGGATGGTTGAAACTAGGTCATCTGAATATAATTTGAGTGCTATAAACCAATCATTGAATAAAGTCAACACTTGGGGCTAGAGAGCAGCTCTCCTTACAACACCCCATTTCTCTTCTTAAGAGGATCAGAGGTACAATGGTTTGTTTTATTGCAACACTGGTTAGCCAAATCCAATCCTTCCCATTCAGATATGATTTTTAAGAACCAAGGATTTTATGGTTTACTGCCAAATTTGGCAGACAATTTACTGATGAGATTCATGACCTTGGGATTGTTCTGGTACTTGGACATATTTGCTGGGTTCTGAGCAACATCTTGGAACGCAACCATAACTTCTGGATCCTGCAGGACAAAGAGCAAAAAATTAGGGCATTTATAAAACAAGTCTACAAATGTTAGTGGTTATTTGGTTCCAACACGAATCTAGTCTTGCTTTTAACATGGCAAGACTAGATTAGAGTTTTGGGTGAGAGGCCTCTAAAGAGAACCAAATGATATAGTACATGTTGTTAACACTGCATCAGTAAACACCAGAGTCATTACTGACCTTGTGACAGTAATAACTCAATGTGTGAGAAGGGGGAATAAGGTAAGAGTTCACAGGAACCAAACACAGCCACACGTACTGGATTATTTGTATTCAGGCATCTTCAAATGCATTTTAAAGAAGGCAGGAGCTGTGTGTGGCATGCCTGATAGGATAACCCTCCGAGCAACAGCTGCTGCTCATCACTTTCAACCCTTTTCCTTCTAGCAGCAGAAACTTTAATCTGCTGAACTGTGAGCAGATGATGTGGCAATGTTTGGCTTTTAAAAATGCATCTAATTCTCAGTTGTTCCCCACCTCCTCTGAGAAATCATGCTTGGAAGAGAACCTTGTTATCTCTCACCACACTACTGTGTTGCAGTTGATAAATATACTCATATACACAATGAAGTCAGTGGTCAAAAAAATAACAACTTAATCTTCCCTACTTAGTATGAGAAGCATTAGTACTTTTTTTTTTTCTATACTTCTAGTACACCTTTGGCCTCCACTGAACTAGAACTGGTTTTACTCATTTTACATGTGTATGTTTTGAACAGTGCCCTTTAAGAATTAATCTGTATAGACCAATTTCACATCTCAGCCTGGAAAATGTTTCTATTATAACTTCTGCAAAGATTCAAAAGTCATCTTTAATTCAGCTGAAGTGCAAGCAGTTTATTACATCCAATACAAATCATCTGCATTATCTGTAATTTCATCTGCTGTTCTTCCTAGCACATTTAAGTAGTTTCACTGAAAGATACCATCTTCCCTAGGCTTCTAGCCCAATGCTACCACAGCTGTATTCTCTGGAAACCATCAAAAACCAACTGGTGTCCTCAGAGCTGCCTATGCTACACCACCACCATCCTGTATCTATTCTAGTATCAGACAGACAAAAGCTGTTTAACAAGTCTGATCCAAAATTGCATTTGGTAGGTGTGGACTCCACTGAAATCACCCACATGGTTGAGTCACTTTTTATACATGTTGGGAACCACAAGTCAAATCTTATCTTTTGTTAGAAGGATTTACAAGTGTTTCATCTCCCTCACAAAAGGGAATCTGCAAAGTCTAAGAAAAATAGGATGCTGAAGTTCAGAAAACAGACACTAGATATATTTTCTCCACTTTACAGGATTCCTATGCAAAGAAAAAAAGCAGACTTTCACAACCTCAAACTTCTTGTATTTTTTATTTCAAAACAGGGCATAAAACTATAAAGATTGTGTCATGTTATTAAACCTATGTTTTCACATGTATATGAATCCGGAACAAAAAGCTGAGTTAAGCTGAGTCACTGGTTTGTGTCAAAGCACACCTAAATGAAAGTTAAATATCCAATTTTATGCTATGTGTTTTATGGTTCTATGAATTCACAGCAAGTAAAATATTCTTTACTTGTGCAACTCCCTGGAAGCCCTCAACCTTAGACTGTCTTTATAAAAATGATTAACACATCCAAGGTTTCACACTGATGAGTAATATTATCAAAATAAAGTTTAAGACTAAGGATATCAACATTTCCATAGGGAAATATTTAGTACATAAGGCAGAATGGGAACCATTGTATAAATGGCATTAGTGAAACATTCAGTTTTGTAATGCTCTAGGTCTTTAGTTTCAGGAGGTTGAAAAATACTTTGAAGGAAAAAAGAATAGTGGTAACTTTTTCCAACTTACACATTTTGGTGGAAATCTGGGTCTAACATATGACTACATGTCAAATAAGGACTCCATACATTTGTCTTGCACATCACTCCTTTTGATAAGAACTTATATTTGACCCGTGACAGCTCTCCAAAACACAAACATCACCTTGTGTCCAGAGAAAGCAGTTGCACATGCAAGACAGGAAGTACCACAGAACCCTCCAGACAACCAAAACAGTAAAATAAGAGAAACACACACACAAAAATTTCAGCCAATTCCTCTGGAGACTAGAAAGCTCAGGGGCAAATGAGCTAAAACAACACGCATTAGAAGTCATTGCAAAATGTCACAACTGCTACCGTTAGGAAGCTATGAAAAGAAATGCAACAGAAGTTTTGCCACCCTGGAGTCTTTTTTATGTAAAAGACTAGTTATCAGCCACAATTAAAAAAAAGAAAAAGGAAATATCCTGAAGACAATATATCTTCAGGTAACAGAACCTGAAATCTTCATCAAGAAACAAGTTTTTATACTAGTTTGCAAAGATTCTTATCTTTATGCCAATGACGAGCAATGACTTCTATAAAGATGTCCATAGCCAACTGTATCTGGTTCTTTGGTTGCTTCTACAGATGACAAGCTGAAGTTGACAGCATGACTGGTTTTATCTAGCTCATGTTCAGGCACACACACTTGTAAGGTTTACTGAGATGTTAACAGACTCAGGCATATTTCAATATTAGCTCATGGAGAACAGTCTCAAAGATGAGATGATAGTCACTAAGTCTAAAGAGACTGAGAAGGAGGTCTTTACTCTCAAAATACTCCAGTTTCAGGAAGAACTGCTCACTATGAAAAGCTTCTATGTCCTGAGAGTTAAAATAGTATCTTAATATTAGCAATTTGGGAGAGATGTGTGTGATGCAGTATCTGCAGACTTTTTCCTAATACCTCAGATAACCTGTGTAAGAGCTGGCAGCTACCATTATCCATCAACATACTCCATAGCTGCACTGAGCAGTAACCAAGCAGCAGAAACTACTGTCTTTTAAGACTAGAGCTTACACTGCCAATTCAGAGAGGACCAGACCGTAGTCAGTTGGACATTTTAGGAAGAGGCAGCAGTGCAGACATAGGTAAAACACTGAATAATCATATCTAGATGTAAGGTTTGTACAAGGAGGTCAGCAAGAGACTCAAAGCTTTGCTGACAGGTTCTACATGTTAAAGCCTGCCTGCATTATCAGAAAAAACCACCAACACACATCCTTGCAACAGAGTCCTACAGTATGTTGGGGTATATATAATGAGCATGCAGTGGAGTCTTCTCACAAGGCATGTGGCAAGCGCTTAATATTTAGCTGAACCTCAAAGCTCTGTTTTTGGCAACTCCAATTTCAAATTCCTGTATTACAGCATAATTAGCCAGGTAGTGAATACAACTACAAGTCATGGGTTTTTTTTGGATTACTTGCATGCAAATCAACATTGCTGACTCTGGCAGCCTAAGGAAAGGTGTGTTCCCAAACACCAGCAACCATTAAGGGAACCCTTGAACTTTCACATGGAAAGTGATGCCACCTTTGCAATTACAGGGCATACCAAATAAAGGTCCCTTGTGATGCTGTTATTGAGATGGGGACCATAGCTGTTCAATAAGGTGAGAACAACACGTAACTCTAGTTTAACCACAGCAATCCAGAAAGAGCAACAAGACACTTTTATACTTGATCATATTAGTATGCAAATAGTACTATATAGCTCAGATTTTTCCTAGCCCACCTGCCCATAAAACTGATGTTGTCAGATATGTTCTATTTAATCTGCTGGAATACTTTTTTTGTGTAAAAGTAGGCATGACATGGAGCAATTAATCAACCCCACTGGGGAAGTAAGCTCTCTGAACATGAAAGTGCCAGATGCAGAACTATTCTGATACTACTTTGCTTCTGGCAAAAACCAAACACTTAATCCCCTAAGAGAAAGGCAATTATCATCTCAATATCATTGTAATAAATTGTGTTGCAACAATATTAACAATCATTTTTTGTTTGTGCGTAATTATCTTGCCACAATGTGTGTGCATTCAAAAAAGGAGCAAGTGATTATACTGTGTGGAAAATAATAACTCAAGAGACTCAAGAGATGAATAACACTGTATAGCACATAGTTTTGCCTATCATAAGCATGTATGGGTCTGGGGGGAGGGTGCACATCTTTAATTAAGCTCCCATCACAGCTTGAAAAATAGCTAACATTGATTCCAGACAGTCTGGTGCCACACTCACAAGGAGAGAATTTCACAACAGAAATAAGCAAGCTTCCCACTGCTATCCAGAAGGTCACATCTTTCTTCCTTCCCTTAGCTCACATGCACTGTTCTTCCCTCCTTCAGAACATTTAGCTTTGATTTTAACAAATACTCACCTGCATGGCTGCAAGGACTTCTGGATCACTGAGAATCTCATTGAGACCTGGCATACCTGCCATTCCTGGCATACCTCCAGGCATAGCCCCAGGAAATCCACCTGAAAACCCAAAAGAATGCATGATGAAAAACATTTATTCATCTATACAGGAGCCTGAGAGAGAGACCAAGACATACTTCCTTTGCCACACCTCTAAAGTAACATCTTCCATAAGGCTACAGCTGGTTCACTGAACAGAAAGCAGGGTCTTCACCTTCTCTTTCTGTGAAGGCCTACGTTTTATTTCATCCATGTTTTTAACCCAATTCAATAGGAGGCTTGTCATGAGTTCTAGCACCTTGTACACAGATGCAGTTATTTTTCTGGTTAAAGCAGATAGGTCTCAAGCCCAGGAACATAAGGAGTCTGAATGCCTGGGGTGAACAATTCAGGGCAAAAGCAGATCAGTAGTAGTATGTCCCAGGCACATTCCATGTTTGGCAAGAACTTGCGGTTTCCAGAAATTGTTCCCCCTTCCCCCCCCCCGCAAAATATATAAAAAAAAAAAATCTCTGAAACAAAACGCTTGAGGTTCTGTTTCTGAATCCTTAATCAGCAGCTACTCCAGCTGTGCTGAGCAGGGTACATACGGTCTTCATTTGGTTCCCCTGACAAGCTGATTGGGCTAGAGCATGCACACAGCCTACCTTGACTACATCTCGATCTTCCAAGAGCATTAGTACTTACTCTTGTTTCTTCCCCGTTTATTGCACCCAGAAATAACATTGAAAGCCTCATTTTTGTGGAACTGTTCAAGGACAGCTTTTCTAGAAGGTAAACTGCACTATGGCCTTTGAGAAACTATTCTGTTCAACAATAGTTTGCAACCAGCACAGAATTCCCTAGTATTCAATCCAAATTTTCAGCTTTAAAACTACTGTTCTTAAGCAGAATGGGTCCAAGGCACCCTGGGTAATTTAGAAAACATTTTTATACTAGTTTTGCAGCACATATTATTAAGCAAATACTGCACCTTTGTTTTCTCAGACCTAAATCCTTTCATTCCGTTATCCACCATTACTGATTTCTGTCTTCCCTACCATCAATCCCTACCCAGCATCAATCCTCTTTTAAGAGAAAGAATCCCATCCCTCTTCCCATTAGTTCTCAAACAGTTCTGTAGACAAGTGTGATTGGCTCTAAGACGGACCCGCTGCCGGCCAAGGCCAAGCCAATCAGTGATAGTGGTAGCACCTCTGTGATAACATATTTAAGAAGGAAAAAAAGTTGCAGGGCACACAGAAACAGCAGCCGGAGAGAAGAGTGAGAACATGTAAGAGAAACAACCCTGCAGAAACCAAGGTCAGTGAAGAAGGAGGGGAAGGAGGTGCCCCAGGCGCTAGAGCAGAGATTCCCCTCCAGCCCATGGTGTAGACCATGGTGAGGCAGGCTGTCGCCCTGCAGCCCAGGGAGGTCCACAGTGGAGCAGATATCCACCTGCAGCCCAGGGAGGACCCACGCCAGAGCAGGTGGGTGCCCGAAGGAGGCTGTGACCCTGTGGGAAGCCTGCACTGGCGCAGGCTCCTGGCAGGACCTGTGGCCCCATGGAGGAGGAGCCCACACTGGACCAGGTTTGCTGGTAGGACTTGTGACCCCAGGGGGGACCCACGCTGGAGCAGCATGCTCCTGAAAGACTGCACACTGTGGAAGGGACCCATGCTGGAGCAGTTTGTGAAGAACTGCAGCCCGTAGGAAGGACCCACGTTGGAGAAGTTTGTATAGGACTGTCTCTCGTGGGAGGGACCCCACACTAGAGCAGGGGATGAGTGTGATGAGTCCTGCCCCTGAAGAGGATGAAGCAGCAGAGACAAGGTGATGAACTGACCATAACCCCTGCTCCCCTGCACTGCTGGGGGGGGGTGGTGGTGGTGGTGGTGGTGTGTGTGTGTAGGTAGAGAATCCAGGAGTGAAGCTGTGCCTAGGAAGAAGAGAGGGGTGGAGGGAAGGTGTTTTGAGATTTGGTTTTATTTCTCATTACCCTGCTCTGGTTGATTGGCAATAAATTAAGTTAATTTTCCCCAAGTCAAGTCTGTTTTGCCCATGACAGTAATTGGCTGAGTGATCTCTCCCTGTCCTTATCTCAACCCACAAGCCCTTTGTTATATTTTCTCTCCCCTGCCCAGCTGAGGGGTGGGGGGATAGTGATAGAACAGCTTTGGTGGGCACTTGGCATCCAGCCAGGGTCAACCCACCACAACAAGTTCTAAACTTCCTAAAATATTTTTCTCTCTGTCTTGAGAACAAATGCTATAAAAACTATGGTTGTAATATTCCACATGGAAACAACAGCCACCTCTACTGCAGGTATTGGTGCTTAAAAATAAAATACCTGGGAAGCCACCTGGGAAACCACCAAACTGCGCTCCTCCTGCCTGTCGTCTTGCTTCTTCCTCCTGCAGATGAAAGCACATCATTCCACACAAAGCAATGGAACTGCAGCCTGTTTTCTACTGCTCAACTAGTTTTAGGAGAAAAAAAAAAAAATAATAGCTGAGACTCTTTCAGGCAGGTAGGCTTTTGCAACAAACAAAGCACTTCACTACATACAAAACCGCTGACAAGAAATAGCAGTGGCTACTTTTACTTTAGTATGTTTTTACTGAATATGAACTCTATGATTTGTTTTAGCTCCTCAACTTACATTTTTAGAACCAACTCCCACGCCCAACATATTAAAATATATCAGTAAAGCATGAAGAAAAAGCAAGCAAACTGTGTCAGGAAGCGAGGAAGAGAAGCAAAGTATTATCCTGAATTTAAAGCCTCCCACTTCGGGAGCTGTAAGTGAAAACTATTCTGGTACAGTCATACAATAACTGACTTCTTGAAATACAGGATTAGTAGAGATTCCAGAGCCTGTTTTTGTCATAAGCAATAAAAGCAGATGCAGTACAATGCCCTCTTCTTCAGATTTCATTATTGGTCAAGTAACCAAAACAGAAATCAACTCTCTAAAATTTTATTCTAAGACTTAAAACAAAAGTAATTCTTCTCTGCAATTCATTTTAACCAAAATAACTATGACACTTCAAATTATTAAGAAATATTAAAGCCTAAATATTCACCCTTTGCGCTCTCTCATGCTCCTCCCGTGCCTTCTTCACTCTTTCCATTCTTTCCTTGATTTCCTTTTCTTCACGCTTCCGCTCATATTTTCGGCGGTGCTCTGCAATCTTCTGAGCCTGTTACAATAGAATACCAAGATTTAATATACATTTCTAGCATATCACACAATGTATTTCAATACAAAATACATGTAAGCATAACCATCTGCTTTTACCACTTCTTAAAAACAAGATCTGACTTCAATTCCTAAAAGCCCCTTTGTTTTAGGAGCCATTTACTCCTTCCCCTCTATGGCAATCAGTTATTCATGTCTACTCAGCCCTAACTGGATTCATCAGAACATGCACTCTAGTATACTTTTTTGCTATAGAGCTCTGGGACTTCACCATAGTTAGAACTTAAATATGTTATCATTCCATATCCCTATGTGCTTTTATGCTGAAATATTAATTCCTCCAGGGCTAAAACCAGCAACTGCCCCAGAAAAGGGAATTTCCACTGGCACAACCAGGGGGAATTACAATTCCCCTTGCACACACACTTTTTGGATAATGTTACTGCTGTTCCAGATGTCTTTGCAGCATATACAGCTAGACATAAGCAGACCAAAGAATTCCTGAACCAAACCAAGACAGGGCTGGTGGGCAGAAAGTTTGCTTCCCATATGAGCTGCTTCTCAAGTCTATCAAATCTGCAGCCCCAACAGAAGAGAGTAGCTAGCAATGAACCCCCAAGGCTCCTCACTCAGTGTTCTGTTGTTACAACGAGCACTAACTGTAGCACCGCTTTCCTGAAAACGGAACATACCCTTATATAGCATTGCAAAAAACCATTCATGATTTCACAAATTGTGTATGATGGTTACCCTGTAACACTTCTGTGACTAAAAAACATAGCAAAATCAAGGTTCAAGAACAGAGATACTAACTACTACTACAAGGGATACTCTTCTATTCTTTCAGAATACTCTTTAAAGGAAGAAATGATTTTATAAGTAGTGAAGTTTCAATACAACTTATTTTAGCTAGGAGACAGGCATTCCATTCCACATCATTCTTGAAGTACATCTGCCAGAGAAAGCACACTGCAGGCAGCAAGACTGAATGATATTGAATGCAGTACACATTATCAGAACCTTATGTTACAGCCATTCAATAGTTCATTAAGAGAGAGGTAAGTGTTTTGGTTTGTTTTCTTTTTTTAAATGAAACATAAAGAGTTTTCAAAGTTTTGATTTTCATTGTTTCTAAGTATTTCTCAAAATTAACTAAGCATTTTTAGAATTTGACTCCGACTTCCAGCTGAAAGCGCTACAAACTAAAAAGTGCCAGGAAAGCTGCAAGTGAATAAATTAGGTGAACACATCATCTTCACTCATTAAAAATAAAAAAAAAAAATCACCCATTAAAAGATCATATGTTTTCCCTTGAGCTACATACACAAATTCCCATACAGTTGGCAACTACACATCAATATAGCACAAACATACTCTGCTATTTCTGTGCATGGGCAGATTAACTGGGAAATAAAAAGCTCCCTTTCAGCCAAGCATTAAATATACCTCTTATAAAAAAGGTTGAGACCTAAGACCTAATTACATTTACCATGGATCAATAGTCTCCAATACAGAAGACTAATAGGTTGCAAGATGGTTTCCATTGTTGTTTTGCTGGAGACAGTGTCTTCTACAAAGACATGGTAGGAAAACTGAAAGCTGAAGCTATTAGACACAGGAATGTTTATGCATGTGGTGGGTGAAGTTTGGCTGGCTCCCAGATGCTCACAAAGCCACTCTCTCACTCCCCCTTCTCAACAGGAGAGAAAATAAGATGGACACGCTCTGGTTTGAGCTGAAGACAGCGAGATCACTCATCCACTACCATCATGGACAATACAGACTCAACATGGGGAAGATTAATTTAATTTATTGCCACTTAAAAATACAGTAGGATGATGAGAAACAAAGACAAAACTAAAACCACCTTCTTCCTAAACCTCAACTTTGCTCCTTTGTTCCCCACTCTTTCACCTCCGCCCCACACCCCAAACAGCACAGGGGGATAGGGGCTGTGGTCAGCTCATAATGCTGCACCTCTGCCACTCCCTCCTCATCACACTTTTTTCCTGCTCCAGCATGGGGTTCCCCCCACAGGATAAAGTCCTTCACAAGCTGCTCCAGTGTGGGTCTTTCCCACAGGCTGCAGTTCTTTAAGAACTGCTCCAGCATGGGTCCTCCCCATAGGGTACGGTCCTTATGCAAGAGACTGTTCCAGCATGGGCCCCCATGGACTGCAGCTCCTGCCAGAAAACCAGCTTCTGCATGGGCTCCTCTCCTCTCCACAGGCCATAGTTTGTGCCAGGAGCCTGCTTCAGTGTCGACTCTCCATAGGCTGCAGCTTCCTTCAGGGCACATCCACTTGCTCTGGCATGGGGTCCTCTACAGGCTGCAGGTGGGTATCTACTCCACCATGGACCTCCATGGGCTCAAGGGGGACAACCTGCTTAACCATGGTCTTCTCCATGGACTGCAGAGGAATCTCTGCTCCCGCACCTGGAGCATCTCCTCCCCCTCCTTCTTCACTGATCTTGGTGTCTGCAGGGTTGCTTCTCTTATTTTTTTGTCTTTACTCCTCCCTCTCACAGTTGCTGTGCTGCATTTTTTAACCTTTCTTAAATAGGTTATCACAGAAGCACCACCGACATCACTGATGGCTCAGCTTTGGCCAGCAGTGGGTCTGTTTTAGAGCCACCTGGAACCGACTGTCTGACACAGGGGCAGCCCCATGTCTCTTCTTGCAAGAGGCCAGCCCTGCAGTCTCCACCTCCCCCCAACCTTGCCATGTGAACCCAATACAATGCAACTGCTGCAAGCTGTGGTCTGTCAACCACTTTAAAGGAATATGCAAAAGAGATGAAAAAAAGCCTGCTATCAACAGTCTTACGTTTGTTATACAAAAGTTCTTCCTTAGAAGAATGCTGGGGTCAACCGCTTGAGAAAAGCTGAAAACCAGTCTTAGAGATTACGCTGCCCTCATGGGGTAGACTAATGAAAGTACAAATCACAGCAAAGAATGTTTCCTTTGTAAAATGTGTTTAGGATGAAGCTTTGATCAATTCAGAAACATCTTGGAAAAATCCATTATCAGCATTCTCTTGCTCTTCTGAATGTTTTTAGTCTAGATTCTAAAATGCTGGCAAACTTCAACTGCTTCAGATTCTGCTGTTAAGATTTTAAAAAGGAACCTACTATTTCATAGTTCAGTTACATGCCCAGCCCCAGAGACTCAACTTCTCTACACACAGCCATAAACAGCTATGATTGAAGACAGAAGTATTTATAAACTCAGTCTGAAGTGTCAGATGACACATGAACACATTCCCACAAGACAATACATATTGGAAGAATTTGAAGGCAGCAATGTCACTTCAACAAATAGAGGAGTGACCACTATTATGAGTCCCCACTTACTCTTGGTTGCACCTCCTTCAGCATGGCGCTAGCATCTTCATCATAATCCAGTTTACAAGCTAATGCAAGATCATGAGCAGCCTCCTCCCAGTGACCCAGAAGTCTGGAATTCAGAAGACACCAACATTCAGAAGGAAAAAAACAAACTGAACTCTTGCAATTCTTCAAAATATTTACAACCATGCAGCATTGAGTATTTTTACCTGCAGCTATACAGACTTACAGAAGTTTGAATTTAATAATCATGATGTTTTCTGTAACCTGCACACTATGATGCCCTAATTAGGATACTTGCTTGCTTCATACCCTTACAATAACTTTCACTTGAAGTAACAATGAGGGGGACCCCCCCCCAATCAACCAGTGTCATTGTTTGCTATAAACAAGAAGGGTCTAACAGGGAGAAGGTACCCTACCTAAACACGTGAGGCACACTAAAATACTCTGCACCACTAGGCACATGTTCAGTGTAAAACTACACATTCAGTGTCCTGTACGGGTCTACACTACTACTACCTCAAGCTTAAGTGGACTCTTTACTCAGCACTCAAACATTCTAGCTAACTGGATGCACCATGTCTTAGCTGAAGAGGTCATACAAGCTACTGCGTGCACTTCTTCACTACTCATTTATACAAACTCTTGACAAATTTAAGAAAATGGCGGTATTCCTAAATGGTCAAAGCAATTCTGCTTACAGACAGCTGTTAATCCAAACTATGCTCCAGTCTTCTCACTCTCAGGTTCCATGACGTTTATTAAAACTGTAGAAATTAACAAACTACTCTCTGAACACTGTTTAAGATACATTTTTTTCTTTGGTAAGTGCTATTAGCACTTACTCCTTCCACTTTTATACAGACCATAAGAGGTGTCATTTTATTTTGGGGGAACTAATTTATTGTCATTTAAAAAAAAAAAAGTTGAAGTTTAGTTGGGGGGATGCACACTGGCCTAATGCCATTTTAAATAATTATGCTGTTTGCTTAATACCACTCTTCAGTTGCAACAAATGGTTCCCTTAATAACTAGGCAGTTTAATTTACTATGTGAAAGAGCTCTAGGATTTAATGAAATAAGGGCAGCAGAAAAATGTTTTTAGAATTATAGGTTAGTAAATAAAAACTGAACCAAGTGAAAACAAAACACGTCCAGACAACTAAAACCCAGTCCTAGAACTTTTAGCAAATGATTAGAAAATGATACACAGAACAGCAGTAAGCCATTAGAAGAGATGTTTAAAAAGAGAAGAAAAGACAGTGCCAGAAGGACTACTCAAACTGCCATCAATAAATCGCCATTATCCTCTCTTTCCTGTAAGCCATACACTCAGCACAATGGTTTCTTGGCTCATGGCTACTGCTCTCAGGTACAAAACAGACAGTTCAGAGACACAGAGAAGGGGAGAATGCATAAACAAAACTGTTCCCCCCCAAGTAAAGACAATATCAAGTACAGATGCAGTTCATTACCTATGTGCTTTCCCCCTCCATTTATAGGTCTGTGCCGAGTCAGGATTAATCTTGATGGCTCTGTCACAATCTCTAATGGCAGCATTTGGCTTCTGTAGTTTCACAAAAACACTGTGGGAACAAGAACATTTATTGTACATATTGAAATACCAAGTTACTAACTTAAGCTGGAAATAATTTTGGATGACTAACAGGCAAGCTAGCAAGATAATACATTGGAAGAGCTGAGTTTAAAAAGATTTCGTAGTGATAATGAAGTCACTGAAATTTAGTTCCACCCCCACCATTGTAGGTGAATCAGCAAAAGCATTCATCGTTCAGACTCAAACCTTGCCAGCAAGAATAACTTCAGTGTACAAGGAAAGGATGCATAAGTGCAAAGGACAGATCAGTTCCATAGTGTTTGGAGTCTACAGCCAACGGCAACTGGCAATTTCAACAAAACAATAATACTATGCATGCCATATTACACAGTCTTTAAAACAGTAAGACAAAGGAAGCACAAGTTATCATGCAAGCTACAAGGATCATGGCTAGAATCATCAGAAACTACAAAAGCAGATAGGAGATGAGTCATCAAAACTGAAAGAGGCAAAACATAACACAAACCCAGAAAGTAGCCCCAATCCCTTCTCAGTTAAGTGAAATAACTGCAAATTTTACAACACACAAGCATATCAGATTAACTAGTAGAGCAGTACTTTAGGAGGTTCACTCATTTCAAATTAAAAATCTCTGAAGGAAACACTAAAAAAAACATTCCTGAAATGACAACAGCACTTCATACTCAAGATACTCCAAGTCAGAACTTCTGTCCTTTTACATCTACTTGGAAACAACTTATCAGCAATTGGAGTGCCTGTAAGTAACTTCATCATTAAGCAAAGTCACACATTCTCTTCTAGAAACAGAGCTGGACAATACGTCAGGAAACCATCTCAAAGCTACACCCCACCAATGAGAGACATTCTGATGCTGCCAGCTGCCCAAAAACACAAACCCCCCAGAACCAAAACCAAAGTCCAGAGGAGCGGATTACACGCAGCACTTGATCAGCACTGCTGTTACGCTGCAGGTTTTACAATATCCTAATATACTGTTTGCTTATTTCTTCAGTAGACCAAGTTGAGGTAACTTTTAAACTTCTCCTAACACTCTTATTTTTCATTGCTAATCCCAGTCCTGAGAAGATCTGGCAACAACAACAGTCTATTAAGGCACACAAGTGGTATTACATGCAAAAGCTTTTTATATGGAAAGGAAAAAAAACCAGCAAGGCATGTACCAGCTAAGGTGTACTAGAATATAACACTAGTTAATCACATGAAAGTCATCAAAAGTTGAACTTTTAAATTATACCTTGCTATTCAAAAGATCCACTAAACTATAAATCATCCAGGGTTAGTGGGGGTTTTTTTGTGTAAAAGGAGGACAAAAAAAAAAATCTGTGGGAACTTCTGCTTCTGCAACCCATATGTGCCCAGCCTTCCTCAAGAATTAGGAAGATAAATATGTTTGTGCATTATTAAGTTAGGGTTACCACACATCAGATCTGACAGTGTTCCCAGTGCATCATCTGCAGTCTGGTAGATGTAATTAGCAGTCAGGTGGTTATTGAATGAGTTGAGAAATAGATGTGTCTTGTTCAAATGTAGGACTGTTGAACAGAAGAAGATCTACTTCACAGTGAATGAATTCATTTAGCAGGTACAACACGAAGACAGTTTACATGATCCACAATTAACTTTGCATCTAAACAGGACACAATTTCAATCATCATCTTAATCCCAGAATAAACTTCAGATTTTACAAATGTTTGTTATCCAACATTTTTCTAACTCAACATACCAAAAGCTCTATTACCATAATGCATTTTGGAACATCACTCTGTTACTTACTCTATTATCAAGATTCTTTATACAGCTGCTTCAGCAAATCTGGTTAATCACATATAAGAGAAAAACGTGTGAAGTGTACTTTTCTCTTTCCCTCATGTGGTTTAAGTTTACATAGATCCTCAAGTTGCCATTGTATTTAGGTTCCTTAAGGAAAATAACAGAACAGGCAGAAACATAAATCACTACCTTATAATGACTCACCTTGCCCTCTTGGCATACAAGATGGCCAAACAAGGATTCAGCTTGATAGCATCTGTGAACAAGTCGACAGCCTTCTGAAGTTCACCTAAATACGAGTATCAGTAAAGTTTCAATCATTACGCAATGAAATTACATCCAAATTGCCACACTTGCCTTACAGGGTGTTATGTCCCTAGGCACTTCTTAAATGGAACATTATCAACAAAGCAAAATCAATTTCTTCCTCTTGCTATGTTACTGAAGTAAGAAATCCAAAATTAATGCTGGAGGGGAGGAGAGACTTCTCCCAGTTAAATTTGTGCATTTAACTTTGTACGCAATCAAATAGGAAGTCACCTCCTCATCACACAGCTTTTCACTGCATTAAGACAAACCACTAGAGACACTAATCATAATACGTAGGGGAGTACTATAATGATCAATTTGTAATTAAGATGCTGCAGTACCTCATTCCCCCTGGCCCTGCCCAGAACTATAGCTACATTGGGAAGACAGTACTTAAAGAAGCCTTCATGTTCTAGATAGTTTTTGGGTATCCAGCAGGAAGTGGTTCTTCTCTTCCTTGAAAGCATTCAAAATGGTCCAAGATATTTATTTCCTTTTTTTAATAACGAGAACCAAACCTAATGTCCTTGAATATGTACTAAAAAAGTATCACCTTCACTTAGAGCATTTATTGCTTCAATCTTCTTCTCATTAGCTTGATCCATCATCTCTTCAGTTACCTAAGAAAATAAAGAAAATTAAAGACGCACACAAAACCCAAAAGCTGTAGAGTCCAAGCCAGAATTACCATGCCGAGACAGCACCAAAGAAGGGAGCTCCAGTTTTCTGATTCTAGAATCTTGTTTTTAATTTGCACTGAAATCATAGTTCAAAAAAAAACCCAAAAACAAAACAAAACAAATCCCCCAAAAACCAACCAACTTTGCTTTCAGCTTGAAGACATTAGCCACCATTATTTTTAGCTAGAAAATGCTCAAAAGATAAGTTGAATAATGGCAGATTTCTACATATCTAGTTTTCATGGGCATTTTGATACATTTTTTTGGTATTTTCTGAACTGATTTTCCTCACTGAACTTTGACAGACTCTAACCTCGAATAAGAAAAGACTGTGGTTTTAAGCCAGTAAGTTTTCTATTTAGGAGAAAGAGCCAAAGCAAAAGCTGGCTACTTAGCTAATACCGTACTCATCCCCCCTCAGCTGCTATCCTTGTCTAAACTCAAAACCTCTCCCTATCTTTCCTACTCCCACAGACATTGAAAACACCATGTTTACCTCCACATTTTCATCCCCCATTTCTTGAGGGTCATCATTGTCTGGTTCAATCACTCCCTCATTGTCAATTTCTGAGGGAAAAACAAAAAGCAAGATTAAGCTACATCTACAAACGTAGAGAGGATTTCCAGAATCATGTTCAAATTGGCAAAATGGGATAAAGTCATCTATTTTCCACACCTAAGTCACTCTCTTCACTTTCTGGTTCAGGTGATTTAACTGGCTCCTCTGGCTGTTCCTCTGCTTTGCCCTGAAAGAGAAATGTATTTGTAAGCATACATTATTTCTGACTGATATTCTATTCCCACTCTAATAAACAACAATGCATCAGAAAATGCAAAATTAATCTCCAAAACATCAGATTGCTCTACAGCTAAACTTTTATTTTTTGAAGATACAAATCTTCCTTTTTCCTCCTCTCAGATTAAGTCTATCATGCATGCAAATAATTCAGAGCCCAAATTCTGACCCATGAACGTCTATTATTGTCCTTCAAATTGTGTAATTTTATAATCAATCAACTCAGAACCAGTTTTGCCATGATTACTAACCAATCCCTCCAATCTTCCTGCCTTCCCTCACACATTCTCTGGATCAAAACCTCTCTCAATTTAAGACTATTAAGCTAAGGTTCTCTACCAGTGAACAATACACTGGTGTCAATGATTAAAATATTGTTTCTATTTGCCAAGGTCAGAGATTTTTGCCACTTATGCATACTTAGAATGCTTTTTCCAAATATTTTCCTACCAGCTTCTAACTACATTATCAATTTCCGCCGAATCCTGTAACTTAGCACATCCTGCTTTAATCACAGACATAAGCTGCTTGTCTTCATACTCAGTGTCACAGACTATACTCACTACATGCACACAATCCCTCCATACGGTTCTAACTAGCCAGTAATTCCAGCATCTTGTGTCTTTTTAAAAAAAAAAAAAAAAAAAAAAAAAAAAAGAATTCTACTTTTTCCAAAAGAATTTCAAGCTTGGGAAAATCCTGCTATAAATATCTACAAGCCAAACTTATTATTTCCCTTAAAACAAATAAAAAAAAAAGACAACAAAAACCTCTTCCACAATACTGCCTTAAAAAGTTGATAGTTCACCTGTTCATTATTTACCATGCTTGCTAATATTTCTTCTCATGCAAGGATTATAATTTAATCCACTATGACTACAGAAGAGGTGCATAAACAGACAACGTGAACATAAAAAAAGAAATCAAGACTTTGTTCAGCATTTGCATTGCACAGAACATCAGGCATTCAGGATTAGGGAAATGGAGCATGATAACACTTGAAATAAACTAGGAAGCCATCTGTAACAAGTCATCTACAATGTGCAATGGGCAGGCTTCAGACTGAACTGTCACACTCACTCACCCTAGCATATTCACCACCCTACTTGAGTGAAAATTGACAGCAATTTTTTCCCCTCCTCCTCCTCAGTAATTTTTGCAGAGTCCAAGTGTTAGTTTTCAATGATAAATTCTTCGTATCTCACCTTACTTGTCTCCTCTGTGGAGGTATTGGCTGGAGCAGGCGGTATTGTGCCTCCCATACTTTTCAGCAAAATAGAGAAGAGAAAAAACAAAACAGTAAGATTATCAAAATAGTGACATGTATTTTACTGATTCAAATCCTGCTGATAATCTCAGCTTTTTGTTGTGACACAAAACATGATGATCCAATTCACTGTAAAAGTAGCAAATAAAAAGCACGCATCCACCATGCTTTTCTCAGTGTAACACAATGCACACACTGTGTGTGTTGGCTCTTTCACCTAGAACTCCACTGTGACTTGTACTCACGCACATCATGTATCACCCACACACCCTTTCTCACAAGGAAAAGCTGCCTCCTTGGCTCAAATGGATTTTCTCCTTAAAAATGTAACTTATGTTTTAAGACAGAACTAAATATTATTTTTATAGGTGTTACTAAAATTAGAATTATTTTTGGAACAGAGGTCAAACAAGTGAAGAGAACCATAATGGCCTAAAATGCTTATGCAACTAAAATATTGCTGCCTAGAAAAAATTTCATTTCTCTTATGTATTGCAATATTCATGCCTTTCCTTAGCTACAAGTTAAGGAGCATTCTCCATATAGACAGCATTCTCTCAATATAGAATAAACTTCTATATTATATCAACTTTGGTTAGCAGCCAGAAATAGGCATAGACTAAATTCTCCAGCTGCTTCATATAATATCTAATCATACTTAATGGCAGGCTGCCACAAGGACTACCATTCCCATCTACTGATAGCTTTCAGTTGCTCTTGCCATATGCACTCCAAAGGGAAAAAGCCATTTCTATCAACTCAATAGGCTCGACCAACTCCTTGGGGCCCCACGCAACTGGTTAGACACGATACAGGGGAGAGAAGGAAGTGGGCAAACAGGAGTGGGCAGGAGGAACTGGAAGGGTGCAGGACCATCTGCTTTCAGGAATTACTGCAACATAAAACTATATCCTAGGGGTGAGATCCTACAGCTTCTAAAGTCAGGCTGCTGCAGTCCCCTTCTCGCCTTTTTCCTCCCTCCCGTCACCAGCACCATCTTACAGTCAGGCCCCAAACTAGCTGAACACAAACCTGGATGGGGTGGGACAGGACAGGGACAGGGATGAATTGGGGGAGAGAGGGTAGAAGAGGGAAGAGGAGGTGGCAGGACTGACAGGTCCTGGCACAAGACCCTAGAGCAAAAGGCAAGCAAAAAGCACTACATTGCCTCTAGCTTTCAAGGACAAAACTGTTGAGAAAAAATACCACAAGTTACAAAACTCGGCATCTTCTGAAACTACTGCAAACATCTAGATGTGTCCCTGGAATGTTGACGTTGCTTAATCTAAGTTATACTGCAAGGACTAAACAACTGCAGTTTGATAAATTGTTACAGAGCTAGGCAAAAAAACCCACAGTACATGTACTAGTAACTGTTCCTCCTAAAATTTTACTCTTGTAGGCTGACAATGGGGCACATAACTCTCTACCAGTCTGTAAGTATCAAAGTTTTCTCTAAGATTATAGGGACTGTCTAGGGAAGCCTTGGAACTTTTCTTATGCACAAAGGAAACTACAAATTCCAAAGCATTTTAGTAGTGCTAATAGCTAATATCCAAAGTAACACAATGCTCACAAGTTAAGATCCATCTCATGCTTGTTGACAGCACTTCTTTTTTTTTTAAATAAGACTCTCTGAAAACCTGGCTTACTGGAAAAAGACTGAGAACCCTCTAACTCAAAAAGGTCAGTAACATTTCCACCTTCCGATTATGTATTTAAGAACAGTTCACACACACACACAAAAAGCAGGAATCAAATTCTTGAGCAATTCCAAATTATCAGTCTCAAGATCAGCTGGTTTTAAGTCTGACATATTGAATCACCTCAAGGCTGAAACAGCTTGGTCAGTTTCCTCTGCCCTCTTCACATCCCCCCGAAAATCCATCAAAGCTTAGAACAGTCTATGAGATATGTTAAACTGATATATATGCATGTTTTACAATATGCTATTGCATGAACTGCCAAGGCTAAGCGGTTTCACTCCTAGTCCTTCATAATGTTTGTACAGTTATCCTCTTAGTTATCCTCTATTTAAACCAGAGTTACAATCCCAGAACAACTCAAAAGCAAGTTACGCTAAAACCCCTTAAACCAGTTATTTGATTACTATTAAATGCACAGCAAGGATACGTGCAAAGTTTGCAACGTACTTAACCTCAATGGTATACAGATACACAAGACTCTTGTAGGAAAAAGGCAGGTACTGAGCTATATAAATAGCGCATCTACACACAAAAAGACATTTTAAATTAAATTGCGCTAAAATGGAGTTGTGCAATTCCAGTAAGAACTCCTGGGAGCTGTCAGGACTCCACTGCAGCAATGACTCCATACTTCCACTCATCACAGTGATAAGAAGTGCTGCTTTTATGACTTGTTGAAAGAACTGCTATTTTTCTGCATCCACTTTCATCACTGACAGCAAAGTCATCTTCAGAGAGAAACTGGATTACCAGGAATTCAAAAGGGTCAAAATCTATTTGAGCACAACAACAACAAAAAAGGGCAAAAAGCCCTGCTCATCAGTTAGGGATTCTGTACTTTACTTTTAAGGACTGCTGTTGTTTCTTTGCTCAGTTGTAGGTTTTTGAAACACGTTCCCTTTAATGATACATTTCATAACAATTCAAGTAAAAATATTTGTTTTTTTATGCAATTATGAAAAAGCAGGCAAGACTAAAAGGGATGTTAAAACACTTTCCAAACATAATCATACACTAGCATACGTTTTCTATACAGAGAGCATCTATACAGAAATTAAATACAACAGCTAGACAGAATAAAGGTGCATGAAAACAGATGAGACTTAAGGTTTGTGATGCAATATTAATAGCTAGTCAGAAATAAAGCATCCCATTCTGGCTTTGAGCAGTTAGCATCATTTAAGTTAGAATCATTAGCTTTAAGGGGAGAAAAAAAAATATCAAATCAATCATGAGAATTTTAGTTGAAAAATTTAATGATGGATTTCAATATCATTTAGTCATTATTCTGTAATCACTCACAACATTACCTTGGTGACTAAACCTATGTCTTTTGGATTAATACAGATAAAGCCTGACAAGACATATAAGACTCATCTAGTTTATTTCCACCTGAAGCCAGGCCATGCTAAGTTTCAAGTAGTTTCCAAAGAGTGAGAAGACCCTATAAATGCACTTAGTAGTCCTACCGCAAACAGCGCTATTATGGAAGGGCAGAGGGGAACCCACCAGACTTCTAGACAGTTTGACATGAAAAGTAAATACCACTCCAAACATCCAAGTGTGTAATTTACCCAATATTTAGCTCAAATATGCAAGGAAAACCAGAAAACTTAGAAAGCTGTAGGAAGTTCTACTCTGAAATACTTCTTAACTTCTGAGATAGAGATATCCAGTGAAGATTTTACATGGAAAAAAACATTCCACAGCTCAAAAGCTAATTTTTATACTTATAATACAAGCAACCTCCTATTAACCAAATACAAACTCTAAAAATTAAACTGGAAGTTAGAGCCCTCCCCATTAACAGGGGGAAGATTAGAAATCAAATGATCGCTTTTCCATTCCCTAATGCTTTCTTTGGCCAAAAGAAGTGAGTGTTCTTCCTCTCCCTCTCAAAATACTGTTCACACCTTCAGAGTGACGCAACAGAAGAATGGAAGTGACCTAGGGTGAGGCACTGAAGTCTTTTACACAGTAGCAAAAGGAACTACAGACCTGCAGTAGGATAAGATAGACAGGCATCTGCTCCCTAGGCATACCTGCAGCTACTATCAGTACTGCAAAACCAAGTGAAGTTAAACAGAAGTGGTTTTACAACCATGCTATATTCAGATGCAGAAAAAAAAGTTTAAACGCCACTGTAAAAAAAAAAACCACAAAACCCAAATAGTTCATTGTGTCCATTTTCATTATATGAAATGCCAGTATTTAATTATATATATGCACACAAAGCCCCACTAGTTTTTCAACTAGCTGCAAGAACTATATAGCAGAAAGTACAATTGAAATACTTTAAGATTAAAATGTAAAACAAATTGTCTAAAACAAATCCCAGTTTGTCACTAAATAAAAGCCTTTTAACTTCCCCTTTCGTAAAAGGGTGTATCAGCAAGGACTTTCCTCACTTCTCAGAGTTCTGTAGAGTAGTGAGGCTTGCAGCTACAAAAGCCAAGCAGAGGTAGCCTCGCCGAACACGGGGCTTCTGTGGATGCTCTGCTAGCAGCAAAGCCCCTCAACCCTTCCGACCTGGTGTTTCTGGGCGCTCAGGGTAGAGCCCCAGGATGTTTTTATATTGAGAAGCGTCTGCTGTGACAGGCCACCCGTGCACAGAAGACGATGTGCATGCTCCTCCATAGCAGGCGCCTGAAGCGCCTCGCAGGGGAGCGAGGTCTCAACTGCTTGGTGCACCAAGGGGCAAACCACATTTTGGCCAGGAACCGTTCCGCCTGTCCAACCGTCAGCTGTTTTACGCTTTCGGGTACCAGGATGTAAATCAACGCCACTCACCTCCCCACAAACTCCGCTCCTTTTTAAGCCCAGCTAGCCAACTCCACTGCATTAATGCGAGAATTAACTCGCTAAGTATTACTCTGGGGCTTTCCAGCCTGGAAAGCTAAGCCACCGAGATGGCCGGCGGGCAGGCTTTTGCCACGGGAATAGCCAGAGTTTACAACAAAAACAACAAGTCTTTTTAACGCTCGAGTTGTAACCCCGGCGCGCCCCGCGGCGGGGAGGGGAGGGCGGGAAGGCGGCAGCGCACCGGAGCCGCTCCCCCGGCGAACGCCCGCCTAAACGGGACCGGCCTGGACCCGCACCGGCGACAGCCCGCA